TAAATTTCTAAAGTAATAATAGTATTTAACTCACTTCATAGTTGAAGAAAGATCACAGAAATTGCCTCCTTTTTAGTGCCGGTGCCTTGATTTATTGTTTCCTGGCCTCTTATTATTATTCAGCACTTGGTTTATTATTTAACTTTCCTTCCTTGTCTTTTCTCCCTAATTAGATCAAAGTTTCTTTAACGATAGGGACTGTGTTCTTTCTCCAGAATGCCTGATTTTGAAATTGTTAGGCCTTCAGTGAGTATTTACTAAGGGCTACATTTACTCCAAATACTTCAAAGTGCATTAGCTATAGAACTATTGATTGTGAACACTAAAAATGTTCAGTGATTCTCAAACTTTAATGTGTGTAAGAGTCAAGGGAATCTTATTGAGATGCAGATTCTGTGTTTCATTCCCAAAGATGCTAATATTCTGACCCATCTCCTCCTCCTTCTCCCCACTATTATTATTGTTGCTCTTCTTTTGCAAAACAATTTTAGGAAAGGCAAGACATAATAGGGTCTTGGGACTGAACTGAAATATTTTGGGGAGAAAGAACTTGACACAAGGTAAAGTAGCTCTATACTTCTCTCCAACCTCACATTCTTCTTTCTTTCAATAAATATTTGTTGTGTGCCCACTAAATGTCAGGTACTATTCTAGGTCCTAGAAACAAACTAGTCAGCAGTACAGACTTCACTGCCATAGCATTTAGATTCTAGTTAGGGAAGGCAGACAAAAGACAAATAAACTCAAAAAGATTGTTTCAGATATTGTTGTGCGCTACAAGGAAAAGCAAACCAAGTGAATAAGATAGAGAATGACTGTTGAGGAGGGAACTAAAGAATTGGTCCATAAACTGACATAGTATCTAAGGACTGAACGACCACAATGAACTAACCGTGCAAAAGACCTTGAGGAAGAGGTTTCCAGGAAAAGAGAGCAGCAAGTGCAAAGGTCCTGAGGTAAGAAAGAACCAAGAAAGCAAGCTAGGATGTCTGTAACTTGAGAGGATCAAATTCACCCACCAGGAACAGGAGGGTGGAGGTTTATTAGGGTTATTCCCCAGAAGAAATGCTCCTAGCTATCACAGAATTAAGGAAAGTGAAGATATTAAACAGACACTTCTGTTAGAAGTGACCATATTATTGCAAATCCTTATCCACAATAAGGTAGCTTATTGCATGATTCCTTTTGCTTGCCACTTTGTGTAACAGGGTTTCATCGCCACTGGCAGATTATATTTTATAGCACCTGAGCACTGAGAATGAGTTCTCTTTGGATTTCCTTGAGACCCAAATGACTTATCATTCACTGGATTACTCAAATGTATCACAAGCAGTATGGCAGAAACTTGTTTGTCAGAGTTTATATCCTTTTCTAAAAGATGGATACCGTTTCAAAGTAAGTTACACAGCATCTTCCTTTATTTTGTCTTTAGATTATTTTTTAGTTCTTGCATTGACTTGCTTGATTTCAGCTGGACATCTATATATTAATAGTAATAGTACTATTACCGCAAACAGCTTTGATTCGTCTGAATAACTGAGTGCCTGAGGAAGGAAGGAACCAAGGACAAGCATGTCATTGGTTGGGTAAAATCCATCCCCAGGGGCTACTTCTGAAGTGAGGAGACAGCTGCTCAGCCATCATTCACTGTCTGTTCCTAAGCCATCCCAGGTGAGGGTAGCCCGGGGACAGTGGGCCTTTGGTGATAAGGGTCTGTCTGCCCACTGGAAACGGGAATCTGCTCAGGGTTTCACTTCACAGGGCCCACCAGGTGGCGAACAACTTTATCTACACACAGCAGATCCAGACCCCTTCCACTCTGTTGCAAGACATGTCGCTTCCCGTGAGAGTCACTTGATTCAGTGCGTGTGTGCGTGCGTGTGTGTGTGTAGCTGGGTCACACATTAAGCTACAGTTCTAAATGCAAAAGTTTCCCACAGCCACGAAAATTGGTTTCTTCACTTGTGTCTGGCCAATCTGATCAGAAAGCAATGGCTTCTGAAAATGGGGACCAGGTGACTGAGGGCAAAATACAGATACAGCAGCTGCAGGCACAGGTAAGTACCAAGATGGGAATGAGTTGGTGGGTCATTTGTGGGCAAAGATCTGGGAAGAGGGCTTGGGAATCTACCAGAAAACGAAATGCCTTTATCCCATTGGAATCACAACTGTAGCTCACATCCATAGTGAAAGCAGAAGTAGGGAATATGACCATGGAAAGGGATATTTTAAGCTCCAATGAATACTGCTTATCACTGGCTTGACTTACAGCGTATCTTTCAACAAACACAGCGATTTAATCTCAACAGTAATTTAGTCTGCAGTCATAGGAGACAAGACCACCATCACACACAGGCTGCAATTTGTGAAATTCAGGTGCTGGGGATTAGGACCACCTGTTGAATTTAATCTTGGAGTTACAATGTTAATGCCATCCTGTAACTGAACATAAACAGTGCATATTTATCAGTCTTTGAGACCTCCAGCGATGGAGATACGTGGAGATAGATACGAACAGTTTCCTAAATAGTATCCGTAACTCTCTCCAGATTCTTTAAATCAATGGCAAATAAAAAGTCTGTTGGAATTCGGATTCAATAGGCAGCAGCATATGGCTCTCTCGCCATCACATTGTGCATACCCTATAATTGTTTTCAGGCTTCTTATGAGTATCATCTGGCAATATAGTAAGAATAGAAAAGCTTTCATTTCTTAATCTTCTTTGTTTTAATTTTGGGGAAAAATTCCTAGCAACATTTTAATAAATGATTTCTACCTCTGTCTAAGCAAGACTGTACAGGAAGATCTCAAACAAAACCTAATTAGCAGCTTTTGGAGAGGACATAAATGTTTCACACATGCACCTTTTGTTGGGCATCGGAAATGGACTCTGCCCAGCTTCCAGCCAGCTAAACAGTAGCGGTAAAGAGGTTCAGAATGCATTTTGATCAGAAGTTTACAGAAGTTTAGTTCTGCAGGATTATTGGGTGCTGCCTGAAGAGAAAGTACAAATATTAAGATCTGTGTTTGCTCTCTGGTTTGGGATGGGGTAAGCTTCATTGAAACTTTGTGAGATGTTGATATGATACCGATAATTATCTGCAAAAAGATCCTCTAACAAGAATTCCAAGGACTTTCATACAATATCATTTGCATAGTACTTCATAGTTTATAAAACCCTTTTATTGCAAATAATTTCATTTTTTCATGTAAAGTTTCAACCTGTCCTCCAATATAGAGAAGGGCTGTTTTGTTATTTTAATTATTCAAGGCACTAATACATTGAAAATGGAATCAAACATATCTGTGTGAATAAACATTTTTTTTGAAAATGAACACGAGGTCATCATGGCTTGTCTTTAACTATCAATACTCTTAGCTGGTGTCTGTCCAACAGTAGAATGCATGAAGAAAAGTATTAAGAGCATCTTCCCAAAAGCAGATTGGAGCTTTCAGTGAACTGATCTTTTGACACTCCTATTAATCATAGCTTCCCAAGTGTTAGCCATTTCCACTAAACAACAACCATATGGAAATTCACGAGTTCAGTATATTCATAAGACACCAGTTATGCATAAACACTACATCCATCCATAGCCACATTTCTATACTTTCCTAGAACTTCAGCCCTCAGGAGCTCCTTGGACATGAAGATCCAGTGCAGTCAGTCAATCAACAACCAAGAAAGAAAACTGAAGGTGTAATTGTAAATTCTAGGGCCTCTGTTTTAGCATTGTAAGAGTCTACCCACCCATCATCAAGACTGCACCCTGATCCAGTCGCCCCCTCCTTTCCGTTTCCCTGAAACCTTCCCAATACAAGTTCCATCTTTTCAAGGGGACTTTCCTCACAGCACAGGGCGTCTTCCTTCTCCTCTCTGCACTTGAACTGTTTATAAGTAGCATTTACTATCCATTCTATCTACCAGTTTATCTATCTATACCCATTTCATGGTATCACGCCCCAGGCACTCAGAGATCTCTAAAGGCTGGGTTCTGCCTTCATTTCTTTTGTACATCCCAAACCCTAGCATTAGGCATTGCATAATGGGTGGCAATATTTTGATTGCCACTTTTTAAAAAGTTTGTCTTTTTCGTGCATTCTAAGAATGATCTTTTCACACACAAGGAGAATCTGCAAAATATTGCTTTGATCCACAGCCGTAAAATTTAGTAAAATAAAAAGTAAAAGAATTGGGGGAGCTCAAGAAATCCTCTAGCTTCATAGAACAGCTACGGAGTGGAAGTGTGTTTTAATAAAAGTGTATTAGCAGCTTCAAATGAGGGCTACATTTAAACTGTATTAAGATATCTTTAGAATCAGGAAACCTGATTAGGATTCTCCCAGAGGCTTCATACACTAAAACTAGAGATTCATTATTCCAGGGAGAGAAGGCTCAATTTTTAAAAATTCAACTTATTAATTATTAGCCAAGCCGAACGAACAGTAGGTTCCCGGAAGGCAGAGGAAAACAGCCTTTCAAGCCAATGGAAGCCCAGTTTGCGCCTCCAGCCTTCCGCTCCCCGGGGCCCAGGGAATGCAGCCCCGGGCACTAGGCAGAGCCTGGAGGCGGACGAACCTGCGGGGGGCGCAGGGCCGCGTCACCCCCTCCCACTCGGGGTCGGAGAACCGCAGGCGCCGGGCCCGCGCCACCTGGGCTTTCCTGCCTCCAGGGCGCCACTCTGCTGCCAAACCCAAGGCTTCAGCCACCGGACCTGCACCTCCTTAGGCTGCAATTCTGGGGCTGAGGATTCCAGCTTCAGGGCCGGTGGCTATTAGGGAACTGGGCTCTGGGGGGTCCACTCACCTCCCCCCTAGTCCCTAAAAACTTCGCACCTCTGGCCAGATAGGGTCCCTTCCCAGGAGGAATTCCAGCCCTCCGCCATCCCCGTCCCCGACCCCGGAGGGTCCACTCCCCCTTCCAGCGCGCGCGGCACCTACTGAAGCGCCTCCCGGCCCGGGGAAGGGGAAGGCTCAGGTGCGCGGTCCCGGATTGTCACCTGGTGGTCGGCCACGCCGAGGTACCCGTCCAGCGGCCGCGGGGCGGCGGGGGCTGCGAGGCGCGGGTGGGGGCTGCTGTCAGCCGCGGGCTGCGCGCTGCCGGTCGCTGGGGCCGGGGGCCGCTCCTTCTGGCCGCCGAGGCTGCTGTACACGAGCAACAAGCTGGTGCACATGGTGGTGAGCGCGAGACACACTGCCAGGCCGTGGCGCTGCGGGCGGGAGAGCACGGGAGAGCGGCTGAGTCGGGCGCGGGACACCGGCGCGGCGCTCAGGTCCCCGGCGAGGGTGGCCTGGGCCCCAGCGCGGCCCCCGCGCGGCCGGCGGGAGAGGATCCGAGCCGCGTCGCCCTCGGCCGCCGCCCGCGCCGCCCGGTAGAGGGCAGGTGGCGCGCGGTGCCCAGGGCAGGAGGGCGGGCGAGCGGGCGAGCGCGCCACGCCGAGGGCAGGGCTGGGCGCGCTCTCTGGGGAGGGGCTGTGCCCGGCCCAGCAGCCGGACGCGGTTCCCCAGCGCGCCCTCCTTGCTGGGCCCCCGAGACGCTGCCCTGGGGATCCCCACAAGTTTGTCATCCGACGAGGAAACCCAGAAAGTCTGCACAGGTCCCCCCACTCCGCCCCTCTCACTCAGCCAGGCTGTTGCTCGGGGCACCCCCGACCCCGGGGCAGTCTCCCCACTCCCCCACCTCTCCACCGGCCCCTCGGACCCTCGCCGGAGATCCAAGAGCCAAGGCAACCCGAACGCCATCCACATTCCAAGCCAGGCAGAGCCCGGGGATCGGGAGGGGAGCGGAGCAGGTGGAAAGTTGTCCCTCTGCAGCAGGCGACCTCGCGGCTCAGGGTGAGGCACCCCCGGCGCCGCTGAGCCCGGGGACCCCGCGCTGCCCGGCCGAGTCGCACCAACAGGCTCACCACCAGGGTCTTCATTTTGGGCACCTCTTCCGTGCGGAATCTCAGGCACTCGCGTCCGGAGCCACTTTTCCTTGGAGGGTTTCCATGGTGGGTGAGGGGGCAGCGGTGGCTCCGACTGTCGCCCGGCGGCTGGAGCCGCGGGACCCGGGAAGCGCCGCCGTAGCAGAGATTAGACACCGAATTAAAACTGAACCGGACCCTCGTAGTCTCACCGAGCTACACAACTGCCGCCTGCCGCCGCCCGCTGGGTCCTAAAGACCTCTTCCTCCCCCTCCCCGCCCCCAGATGAACGCGCGTTCACCAGTGAAATTTCTGGGGTGGGAGAGTTAACCTTGCCAGTGGACCCACTTCTGGGTTCGAGGGCTTTTGAAAATCTTTTATGAAGTCATCATGCAGAAAGGAAGGAGAACCCAACTGAATCCTGCCTGCGATGGCCATTTGATAATCTGTTTTGTGATTTTTGATAAAAACAGGGCAATCTCTGAAACGTCAGTAAACCCACTTAGGGATTTTGCATTTATGTTCACAGTCTGGAGAAGTCTATCATAAAATTATTCTTCCTAAAAAATTACATCATTGCAGTTGGAACTTTCTATTTTTCTCTTCCCCTTAATTTACTTTTTCAAATTCAGTTATTTTCATGCAGTCTTTAGATCAGAATATTTCATTTAAATTATTTCATTTGCTATTTACTTCAGAGATTACAATTTGTATTTTACTTGACCTTTGAGGTTCTTAGTGTTCATCTAAAGGATTTTAACATTTTTGAAAATATTCAGCACGTCACAGCATGCGTGACTAACTGGACTTAATAGATTCTTCCTGATTTCCATCAATAATTTCTAGCTACTAGAGATAGAACTTTTCCTAAGCACTCTAAAGTCTTCAGTGCTTTCCTTATGTTGGGCTACTGCAGCGAAGGTATGTAGTTTCACATTCAGAACTTTAATTAAAATTAAAAGCATAGGGCCGGTGATTTAGCTCAGTGGTTTCACAACCTGCTGCACAGGCGCAAGGACCCGAGTTCGATCCCCGGTACCAAAAAAAAAAAAAAAATTAAAAGCATAATTACTGTTCAGGTGTTGGGTAATACACATCAATAGCTTATTTTAAGCATACTCTCTTCCATGCATTTAATTACAAATGGCATTTGTTAAGTGTCTAATTTAGCTAAATATATATTTCTTGTGTAAGCGCTCAGCGAGTGAAAATAGTTGTCTTAATGTATTACCACTTCACCTGTGGCGGTGTGATGCTTAAGATTACATTAAAATGGAAATGATCAACAGGACAACTGAACCATGGGCACAATAAGAGCTTTCTCAAGGCCAAAGAAGGCATTACAATTCTCTTCTAATCTTCACTAATCTACTGCTGGAGTGGTGATACACCAGGAACTATTTTTAACTTATGAAGCATCCTTCCTTACTTTGTATTGAGAAAGTTAAAATGATTGGTCCGACAATGAATATCAGCACAAGGCTTTCAGGAGAGGGTAAGTAACCCATGTGATTCAGCCTTTCAAGGAAAAACACAAAATTGGAAACACTGCCCAACATTGCCAGCCTTGAAGCTATTTATTCAATTTGTGCTTTAGGCATGAATGGTACCAGTTGTTAGGGCAGGAAAAGCAGCAGTCAGAGGAGAATCTTATCGGGCCTTGGCGATTCTTTATTGTATGGTTGCACTTGACATTCGAATTAATGAAACAAAGGACCAATTTAATGAATCATTGCAAGCAGATTTTCTGTATTTTTCCAGGACTCTTTCTGAGCTGCTACTGGAGGCAGCTCCTGTATTTTTCTGAATTGTTTTCCCTCTATCTATCAAGTTGCCCAGTGACCGATAAAACACTTCTAATATATTCTGCCATCCCACACAGAGCCATCATATTCGTGACTTAAGCTCAGGGCAGCATGTTGGACATCCGCTACATGGTATGTCCAACCAAATTCATTAAGCTTGTGCTTTTTCTCCCCCCTGAGATAGTAGTGAGCTAGCTGCAGAGGCTACTTATGAGATGACCAGGGTTAATGTAAATGTTTAATTTTGAACTTCATGTCAACGACTTCAAGGTGTCTGGTTTTCAATTACTTGAGTTGATTAATGGGACTCTTTTAGGCATCTGGATTAATAGCCAAGTGGACAAGGTGGGGGTTGATAAAACAAGTGACACAAGTGAATTCAATTTGATCGCTTATAGATTATCTGGTTTTGGATGGTTCTGTATTAGACACAGAGCTGAATGAAATAGACATTTTCCTGTAAGAGCGCAGCGTGTGTGTATACTGAGACAAGTCCATGAACAGACAATAAAAGACAGTGTTATACATTCAACAAATATTTATCAAGCACCTACTGTATTAATCACCTACTCTATGGAATGGCTGCTTTGTAGCAGGCATTGGGAACACCTGTGTCAGTAGAGCCCCTCGAGTTCCCAGCCTATTCTCAGATAAGCGCCATAAACCTTTATGCTCCAAAGAACCAAGAACAATCAACAGGCCTGATTTGTCTTTCCACTTTTGACTGTCTGCTTATTTAAGATCTGAGGGGGATTTAAATCTCTGTCTGAGATTTAAGATTTGAGATTTCAAAGGTATCCATGCATTCTTTATGTAACTTCATGTACACCTTTAAGCTAGTAATTTGAATAGCCAGGAAGAGCACAAAATAGGTGGCATTCACAAATACCGGATTGAACTGGAGACAAGCAGACAGGTGGACAAGTCAATGAAGCATTTTTGGTTCATCTAACTTGCACAGTTCAATACCAAGTGAGTTGAGGAGTCACAGTTTGCTTTCTGAAACCCAGGTAGCCAAGATACATTTCTCACCATTTAAAATTTTGCCACATTTCTGCCTCGCGTGCTAACATGTCCAAACAAATAGATTCCTATTTTTGAAAAAAAAAAAAAAAGGAATGGACTGGAAAAGAAATTGAGTGTGCCACAATGGAGGTTGTGTGACGAAATGAAGTGAGAAGGTATGAAACAAGGCTTGTGGTGGGAGGATGAGGGAGCAGGTGCAATCCGGTGCTCAGAGGGACACTGGCTGGTGCACGTAGCTGCAGAGAGCACAAAGCCGCCCAAGGGGGAAGAGAGGCCGACAGCTGGAGGTCCCCTAACCCCGCCCAAATCCGATGTGACTCCTAATTCAGAAATAAACACCTCACACATCTCACAGATGGATGAAAAGCAGAAAACAACACAATGCAAACTGACTTTAGGATACACCTGTTTACACCTGATGGTCTTAAAGAGAAAGAACCACAAAATGTAATGAAAGCATGAAATAAGATAATGGCAGAATACACTCGATGCCTGGTCATTTGTTGGCATTTCAGAGGTGAGGCTCAGTGGTAGATTAAGTTCCTGGAATCGGGGTGCCCATACTGAGACTCTGACCTTACCACTTATAACCTCTGTGACCTTGGGCATCTTACTTAGCTGTGTCCTAACTTCCTCATTTGCAAAATAGCACCTACCTCAAAGCATTGCTGTGAATGTTAAATGAGATACTACCGGTGAAGTGTCTAGAGTGATACAAGTTGTTAATAGTACTTTCTGATTGTGATTAATAAGCTGGGCTTGGAGGCAAAACACCATGGCTTGATCCTTATATCCAATAGCTGCATGATCTTGAGCAAGAGACTTAAAATATATTCAGCAGACTGTTTGCTTCTCTATAAAATGGTGATAACAAAGCCTGTCCCACAAATTGTTAGACGGCTTAAGATACTGTTTATGTGACTGCTTTGTAAACTGTGTGAAGTTTTGCATAACCTAATAGTGCTATGGTTTGGATATGGTTTGTGTCCGTCCAAAGGCTGATGCATTGGCAATTTGGTCCCCAGGGTGGTGGTACTGGAAGATGGCATGAACATCTAAGAGGTGAAGCTCAATGGGAGGCCCTTATGTCATTGGGGTAGACCCTCAAAAGTGATTCCATGAGACTTCTGGGTACCAGCAAGTTGGGAAACAAAATTCTGTGAGAATTCTGGATCCCAACTCTTTCTACTTCCTAGCTTTTCCTATGATCCTTCCTCCTGACACACTCAGCCACCTGCCATTCTCCATGAAGTTCTCACCAGAACTAAGCCCAATGCAAGTGACATGGCATTGAACATCCGCAACTGTGAGCTAAATAAATCTGTCCTCTTATAAAGTCAGTTGTCTCAGGCATTTTGTTACAGTGATAGAAAGTTGACTAGTAAAAGTAACTGCCCATTCATTCATTTGACAAAAAGAATTCTTCATCCACTATATGCCAGGCATTCTTCTAGGCCTTAGGAATGTGAAAGACACACAGGGACAAGCCCTGTGAGGATGATACTCAAGTGAGGGCAAAGCCTGATACAATAGAATTTTACGCAGAAAGCATAGAAGTAGTTAGAAAGTGGGGCACATGTGTTGTTTAAGCTGGGATGGTGGCACCTGAGCAGAGGTGTGGATGATGGAGTGAGCCATGAACCTATCTGGAGGAAGAGCAGTACATGCCAGGGGGACGGCTCATGCAAAGACCTGAAGGGAAGAAAGAGCTTGCGGGTATGTTGTAGAGATAGGAAGCGGTCGGCACTGCTGCAGTAGATGGAGCCCGAAGAAGAGTAGAAGGGATGGAGGGCAGAGAAATAGTCTAGGGACAGATGGTTTAGGACCTGTGGGCCATGAAACAGACAGTGTAAAGGAAACGGAGGGTTCGACATAGACAGAGGCTGCCATAGGTTCTTAATGTTTTGGCAGATTGCCTGAACGCAGTACTAAGATCAGCCTTTGGAGGAGCAAGTGTGGAACGGGGAGCGCAGTGAGACCAGTGCAGCAGGCTGAGCGAGAGCGGGTCAACCTGCTTTTATAAAGGACTGAACTGAGGATTTGCTGATTTGGGGGTATGAGCTACAAGAAGAGAAGAAGCGGGGCAAAGTTCAAGACTTCAGGATCGGGCAACTGGGAGGATGCGGCTGAATTTCCAAGGTGGGCATTCTGTGGAGAAGCAGGTGTGAGGCGCAGGGCATGGAGTTTGGCTGTAGGCCCGCTCAGTCGGAGCAGTCTGGAAGTTGCCACTCAGGGACGATGTTGGCCTTGGATCCAGGAATTGGCATCACCAGCAGGCATGCTTGTGAGCACCTAGGGATGAGCCAGGACTCAGAAAAGGAGAAGTCACAGGTCTGAGCCCTGGATGCTCCAATTTCAGATGCCAAGAGAAGGAAGAGTTATGAATAGTAGCTTCAGTTCTGGAAAACAGTAAATGATCTGAACTTGATATGATTTAGGTGGCTGATTATTTTCATTTTGGATGGATTTTGCATGCCAAGGCAGTTAGTCATTTATGTTCTCAAAGCACTTTTCAAATTCTATTATCATATAAAGCATATTTGGTCACATTTATTTTTCTATTTAGTGTTGATCCTCCCTTCTAAACTATAAATTTTCTGGAACTGGGGCTGGTGCCTTTTCACTGTTTATATCTACCAAGCCCAGCACAAAAC